GCTGTATAGGTTGTCATACATAAGCCATCTGTCCCTAAGGGTGTTTCTTAGAAACTGGCTTTTCTACCATGGTAGCTGGGTAGACTAATGGTGTACGAGGAACAACCTTAGAGGAATAGTCATGATACCTGGGTGGAGTAGGTGCCTCAGATTGGAGTGATTCTGCCTCTGAGGCATCCCAATGATCTTTAAGCCTAGTAATGATATCTTTATGAAAAGTTTTAAGCTCCTTAATCATAAAAGACTCCAATCATATTAGTGAATCTGTAAATTGCTATAACTGCTCCTCTACATGTTTTTTCTAGGTCTTTAATACAATTGTCCTTAGACAGCATCTGGATGGTATGGAAACTGCCTTCTAGGTATTGGAGTCTAGATTCGAGGTCATGATTTGTTGATTTTGAGTCCTCAGCAATCAACCATATGGACCTATTTAATCTGTCAGCCCTGTACTGTAAATTATCTTTCAAACATTCAAATCTAGATTCAAATTTGTGATCTGCTACTTTAGATCCTTCAATAATTGATTGAATGGCATTGCACAATTCTTCAACCCTATCCTGGGTATTTTGCGCCTTTGCATCTAGTTTCTGAGTAACAGTGTCTATCTGAGTTTCTAGCTGCCTACAGATATTCTTTAGTTTGTCATGGTCCTCTGACAGCCTAGCCTCTAATGCCTCAGACATGGGGAGGATCTCTCTCTGTTTATCTTATCATAAATATACTGCATCTCATCTTGGGTAACAGACAGCTCTGTCTGTAGCATATGGGACACAGAGCCAAGCTTATCACCCAATTTATGTTCCACTTGCTGCACAATTGTGGTCTGACCTAATCTGTTTTCCAAAACCTCATTGCATAAAGCTGTTATTTCCTGCAATCAGGTGGTGAGGTTATCTTTGTCCATGTTCCTGAGACTTCTGGCTAGTAATATTATTTGTACCAGCAAGCTAACTGCCATTATGGCTTATAGTAGGATAGTTGGCAGATTAGCATCCTCCTCAAACATTGAATTCATGTAATAAGCAAAAATATTACCAATTTTAGCAAATGATAAATATTCCGCCATAATTTTACCTGATTTTTACTTCAGATGCAGTAACTACCTTTGACCAGCAGGTGATGGCAGCGTTCAGCTACTTGGTGCAGCGTTTGGCAGAGGTCGGTCAGGCAAGATGGTGGCAGTGGTGGAGAGAGGTCACAAAAGTGGCTGCACTTATCTTAGAGAGTATACAGCCTTGTGGCCACAACCACTAAAAAAGATGCGGCTTTACCACTGCTGTGTCAAGGGGAAGCCAGCGGCAAGGGGAAGCAGAGGACCATGCTGAAAGCCAAGGACTACTTCCGAGGCCTCCTGGCTAAGGGCAGGAGGCCTCCGGGCACTGGTAGGCTGCAGTCTGAGCCGGTCTGGTGCCTGCAGCTAGAAACTCCAACAGTAATCGTGCGGAATTGGGGAGTCTGTGGATATCTCCCAGCTGGACAGACTGTTTTGAGCAGCTCAGCAGCAGCTGGAATGCACTTGTGTGCAGGTCACAGCGGGTCAGCTGCGAGCCAGGAGCACCTGTGGAAAGAGGGTGCTTTCCCGGCCTAGGCCGCAATCCCAGTGGGACCCTCAGGCTGTCCCAAATGGAGGCTAGGATTACAGATTACAATATCCCACTCCTGACACCAGATAATGTGGGAAAATTACCAATACAGAGCCAGATAGAAATACAGGGATTTTAATGGGGAAAAAGCCTTACTTACAGAGCAACCTAGCCAGCTGGAGCAACAGCAGTCTGTACAGCAAGCCAAAAGGAAAAACCAAAAATGAAACCAGCTACCTGAATGTCCCTTACTCTATGTCACCCTGACCATGCCCTCACAGGCGTGGTCAGGCACACCCATAGCCAGCCCTTAAGCAGGCATGGCTACAGCACCCCCTACAGGGGAATTCTGTTGTCAGGAGATGATGGGGCTCATCAAGCTGCTTACTCAGGTAAGAAGCAGAGAACACTGAATGCTGACACCCATCGAGCTTTCTCCAGGAAACCATGGAACCATGGACAAGGCTTGGTGCAGCCTACCTGGGGTGTAGTTCTTCACACCTCAACTTAATCCATATTTTCCTCACAGGCATGGGCAGAGCCTGACCTAATTGAGATCATTCTTCACAGTTGCGCTTGGAGTCTTGTCTCATAGATGATTCCAGGTATAATTGAATCAAAAATAAATGATAATGACCCACAGGTTGAAATTAACAATTAAAATTTGGAGAAAATTATCTAAGGGCTTGAAGAGATGGTTCAATGTCTAAAGCACTTGAGACTTGACCTGAGTTCAGATCACCAGATCTTCCAGACAAAACAGATAACGATAGAAATGAGGACATTGTAGCTCAGGCATCTCTAAACCAGAAGCACCTCCCCAGGGGTAGAGGGTAGAGGCAGGAGATCACCACACACTGTGAGTCAGCTATCCAGATGCATGAGCCATAGCAGAGAATAAAAGAGAACCTGTCTCAGATAAGAAGTGAGGCAAAGACCAAACATGGATGCTATCTTCTCATTAGGCTCAAACCTCCTCATGTGACCCCCAAACCTGCATACCATCATTCATGCATACACACACATTGTATATGTCAAAGCCACACACTCAAATGAGCACATGTGCATGCACACACATGAATACATGAGACACTTTTCTGTCTCTCTTTATGAAACCAGGTCTTTATCTCAACATGGTGAGTGCCTTGCCTATGTACTCACTGTCTTCCTAGAAAGGTTCTAAGAGAAATTCCTAGATATTTTTAATTCCTAGAGAAAACATACAGTAAAGAAAATGTTATCAGTATTATCAGTTTGCTGCTTATTTAAATTTTTCCTCCTTATCTTTCTCCTCCCCCTTTTTTTGAAACAAGAGTTTCCCTGAGTAGACCTGGCTGTTCTAGAACTAGCTCTGTAGACCAGGCTGGCCTTGAACTCAAGAGGTCTGCCTGCCTTTGCCTCTACAATCCCAAGTGCTAAGATTAAAGGCATGTGTCACCATGCCTGGCTATCTCTTTTTTCTTAAAAATGTATTAATACAATGTATAATGATTACAGTTTAATCTCTTCCAACTCTTACCAGATGCTCCCCACCTCCTGACCTACTCAACTCCAAAAGTTCATGTGATTTTACAGCATTCATCAAATCACAGTATTGTAGACATGAAGAATGAAGAAACTTACATCAGGAATTAAGAAGATAGCAGTTATGGGTTGGCAATTGTGGCTATGATTGTAGACATAAAAATGTCCTAATCTTAATTCTATTGGTTTTTAATTAACAACTTTCTCCTACCTTGGACATGATTATTGCCTCAATGACTAATATGTTGGCATCTTGGTCCCCATGTGGCAATACTGAGAGGTGGTTGTACTTGTAAGAGTCAGGGCCTACAGTGAAGCCACCCTGCTCTCTGGGACCACTGCTCTCTGCAGGCATTAAGTTTGTTTTTACCTATAACCTGCTCAAGCCTTGCAGGAGGATTTTTTTTTTTTCAGAGAGCAAGACTAGTCCCCGGTTATAATGTCTGGCTTCCTGTCTGACCATATCTCTCTCAAATATGCCCCCAATATGTCATTTACTGTGGTGTGGCATTAACAATTTGGCCCTAACCAGAGTCCAAGTTCTTGAGACAGTATATTGCCTCTTGTTCATTGACCACTAAAACAGTTAAAAACGGACAACAATCCAGTATGTAGGGTCATGAGAGTGCATTAGAGGTTTGGGAAACAGGATATAGTATTGTGAATCTAAAAATATCTCAAACATTATTTTAAAAGCTAGCATACAGATGGACAGTAAATGTGTGTCATTTTGTCAATTATGACATGAGCCTTCCAATCCTGACATCACAGTTGTCAGCCACCCTAACTACTGCAGAATCCTTAGGTCTCAGTGGTTGGTCTTCCAACTGCTCTGGCTGTCTTTGGTTTCTAGTGCCAAGGATAGAGAGAAGTTTAGTCTATTGAAAGACTCTCCATTCAAGGCTTCACTGGAAAGGTATTCTCTTAAGAACTAGTTCTGATCCTTATGATAGGTGGGTGGACTCGAATTATTCTGTCTTGTTTTCTCCAGATCATGTGAACTTGTTCTCCACTCAGCACAGCCCTCATGAGAAACAAATCATTTTAATGAAGTTCAGTGCTGATCACCTCAGAAAGGAGACATTATGATGTCAGGGGCAGAGGTCCTGGGAGGCGTGGGAGGAAAGTGCTTATAAATGAACATGCCTGTCCAAGTTAGGAAAGAGGATTTGTGCTCTGCTGAACTTGGTCACTTTGCCCAATATGAGCACGAAGGCCAACTGAATAGCGGTAGGACCTCAACCAAATATCTAAGAACTTTCTGGTTCTCAGAAAAATTTTAATGTTTCTGCATTTATTATTGTTAAATCTGAACTCTGTTTTACCTAAGATAGTAATGGCTTTTCCAAACATCCTTATGTACTTGAATTTACATGGAACCACATCTGAATTATTTGGGCCTTCAGGCAAATTAGACAACTGTTGTTTTCCACAATATATGACTATCACTCTGGCAAATAGAGGGGATATGGTTGGTAATGTGGAAGTTAAAGTGCGTAAAGGAGTATTTCAAGTCAGATCCAGATTTCTTCTGAGTTTGTGTCTGAAATTGGGGTGTTTTCAGCATTATGGACTTAGCCTCCACCTCTGAGAGGAAAGCAAGCCGCACAGCTATAGCCTGTATTGTTTTTGTAGTCATTTGTTTTGTTGACCTTAGCCATTCTGAGTGGAGTGAGATGAAATACAAACTTGTTTTGATTGGCACTTACCGAACTGATAAGGAAGTTGAACACTTGTTGAGATGTTTGCTAGTCAAAACTATTTTATTTGAATCTTTCTTGAAGATTGTATCACAGTGACTTTCATGAACATATACTTATGAAAACGTATAAATAAAAATTAATATATCCATATATGCATGTATATACAAACATACATATATATCTCAGCAAGTCCAAGTGAAAAAGATACAAAATGAAAACAATGATTTAGTTATATTTAGAAAACTACGGCACTTGCCACATTTCTCATAAACTTTATCCTGCTGCCCTCTGACTACTGGTGGTGACCTCTGGCTAGCCTGCTGATCTTTGTTCTGTTAGTGTTTGACCTGTCACAGGAGAAGCCTCTTTACTGAGATGGAAATTCTAAATGGGAAAGTCACAGATTCGGAAATCAAGAATCAAACCCTGAGGCTCCATGGAGCAGTGGAACTCAGAAGAGGCTGTATCAGTAAGAAGTGTCACCTCTACCTGTACAGAGATTTCTTGGTTGTGACAAATAGTTGGTATGTTTTACTTCAGATTCCTAATTATCAGAGGTTACAATGTGTCACCCCTACTGTGGGACAACCCAAGGGGATTTGCCCTTATGATTTTACAAATGTTTTGATTCCTTACTTATTTAACAACCCATGGAGCCCTTGTTTTGTCCAGTGCCCTAGTAGAAAATAAAACTAAGAATCTATACTAGCAGCCATGCTTGTTTGCACATATCAATAACACAAACATTTTGGGGTGTTATTAGCAAGATCAACTAGATCTTGCTATTGAGGGGTGAGGGATAACAAATGGCAACCTGGGAGGGAATGTTTGAGAATAAAATTTTGTTGAGGTACATTATTCATACTTCCAAGATGGCTTGTTGATTTAAAAATCTCTTAACAAGTTCGTGGAATTTATCCACACACTCCAATTATAAAAAAGCAATCCCAGTGCAAAGAATACTGGCCCTTGGGAAGAAGAAGCCCACGCTGGGTGGAGGAGAGAATTACTTCCCAGAGCTGTGTTCCCACAGGGATGCTGAGAACATGGATGAAGAGTTGGAAAGACCCAGCAGTTCTGAGCTGTGATTGGCTATTACACTTCCTGGCTCCAAACCCTGTCTCTGTTGCTTTGGGCTATTAGCCATCCTGACACTTCCTCACATAGCAAGTGGGGTTAATAGAGATTAGCTGATGTTGGGGTTTTTTTTTTTTGAAACAAGATTCTTTTACATATCAATCCCAGTTCCCCCTCCTTCCCCTCCTCCCTCCTCTTTCCCTCCATCCCAATCTCTTTCTGCTCCCCAGGGTGGGCGAGGCCTTCCATGGGGGATCTTCAAAGTCTGTAATATCATTTGGAGCCGGGCCTAGCCCTCCTCCGTGTGTCTAGGCTGAGAAAGTATCCCTCTGTGTGGAGAGGGCTCCCAAAGTCCACTCGTGTACTATGGATAAATATTGATCCACTACCAGAGGCCCCATAGATTTCCCAGACCTCCAAACTGACATTCTCACTCAGGGGGTCTGGAACAGTCCTATGCTGGTTTCCCAGCTATTAGTCTGGGGTCCATGAGAAACCCCTTGTTCAGGTCAGCTGTCCCCTGATGTTAAGATTAAATTGAACAGCAATAATTTTTAGGTTTCTTAGAAAATGGCAGGTAGCTATCCATCACTTCAGAGCAGAACGCATGACCTGTTCTTTAAAACTAACTGTTGGCTTGGTTTTAAGGAAGTGTGAAAGCTGAGTACATCATTAAAATAAGGCCAAATTATTGAAATGAATGTTTCCTCTCTGTACATATGAGAATGGATAGTTAAAACAGTATGTTTCAAATACATAGTATAGTCTATACTCAATGCAGATGTGGAAAAGGTACTGTCAGAGTCTTCCAGAGGCACCCTGCCCTCAGTGAGGCTTTATTGAATCCCATCTGCCCAACTTGCTGGGCTGTGCCTGGAGTGATAGAGACAGATTGGTGCCGATTTGCTCACGCCATGAGCACAGCTCCCCCATTTAAAAAACAAACTAACACAGATCTTCTTTAATTCTTTTTTAGGTATAAGATAACCTTTAAGATAAAATACATCATCCCTCTGACTTCCCTCTGGATTGGGGACGGTGTGGTCACAGACTATGTAGGCCCCAATCAGGCCAAGAAATCCATTTTCCTAGGCTGGCCCATGGAGAACTTCATCGCCACCTTCCGGTAATAACCAGAACTTGTTCCTTTGGTGGCACTGGGTGTGTATGGAAGGACACAATAGACTTCATATTATCTAGTACACACAGACAATTTAAATGTAAAAACTGTTCTAAGAACTTAAAAGTAAAAAACCTATTTTAATCTGATTGTATGAACACTGTCTCTTTATAACCCACTGCATTATTTTCTAAGGGATATTTCAACATGTTTTCATTTTAAAATGAATCAAAAGTGGGAGTCACTTAAGGAATATCCTAAGATACTGATCATTGGGTTTTTAGCAGAAGAAAATTTCCTGGTAGCCAGACTGAAAGGGTGTACAGCTTCTACAGAAGGACGTATAGGGAGGAAGGCTGTGACCTCTTTTCCAGCATCTTAGATAATCAGGTGTTATCCTACTAGTTGAATATGTTAGGTTTGTTTTTCTTCAGTAATATTAACTATGCCAGTCAGCATCAAAAACTCCTTTGATGTCTCAAAATTATCAGGATCTTACTGTACTAAATTATATTTCTATCATAAATGTCAAGAACTGCAAGTGTGTGTTTATCAAATTATGTATTTGATGAGTACAAACAAGAGGTGAGACTGGCATTATTAGACCCTCAGGGGTGACTTGTGGGGAGCAGGCTAGTTCCCCATTCTCAGGCCACCATGTAGATAGTGATTGTCAGTATGTCCTAGAGTGCTCTCAAGTGACACTGATCTGAAGGACTCCCAGGGATTGCATGGCAGCACAAGCTTCTGTGGACAGCCACACAGTAGCACTTATACTAGTGACCACATGAAAAGTTCATCCATGAGGTCCACTGTTCTTTCCTCCCATCAATCCTCCTGCAGACCTCAAGCCTCATCCCAGAGTTCCCTCTGTAATACAAACCTTCATGCTCTGTAACATACTAAATGGGGCCACAGCCCAATCTCATCCCAGATTTCTCTCAGCTAACACACATGTCTTCATGCTTTGTAACATTACTCAATACAGCCTCAGCTCATTACTTAAGGAAAACATTCCCAGAGATTTTTTAGGGAGAAATCCATGACTGTGTCATTCTTTCAATCTTTTCTATTTTATTACTGATTTGTCAGATTATTACATTTTATGTTGATTGTTTCCTCATGTTTGACATGTGATAAAGCAGTTTAAATGCACATGTGTAATGAGTTTGATGAGAGATTTCCAGGATTGGTTCTTACATTGAGTGACTGAACTTTAGATGTGTTCTTTATGTGCTAGGTTGGTTGTTTTTAACACTGAGTATCACCCATTTGTAACAATGCATGTGACTCAGTGCATTTCATCTCTATTATTTTCTTTATATAACTTTGTGTGAGGAATTAGAAGTGGTATACACATACATTGGGGACCCTGTGGATGGCTGGTAGACCCCTCTGATGAACACAACCCCAGAATAATACAGATGGGAAATCAGGAGCACTTGGGGAGCTGTTAGTGGTGTAAGCAAGAAATGTGCTCACTGTTGGGGAAAAGGACAATTGAATGGTTCCACGGGAAGTTCAACAACTATTCCATGTGACTCGGCAGCTCCAATCCTACTTGTAGACTCTTGGAAAATGAAAACACACAATTACATTAAAAACTATGCACAAATATCTTAATAGCATGGTTCACTACTACCAATAGTGTAAGAAACTAAATATTCAACCATTAAATGGATAACAGAAATGAAACACTTTCAGGAAGTGTTCAATTTTATATATCTCTAGTATGATCCAATGCAAACAAATCTGCATTTGCAATCTCCTCAATCAGCAGGAACACACAAGGCTCAATCTCCCTTTTATCTGTGGTAAGCATCAAGCTCAGAGCAGTTGCCTCACCAGACAGGGGCCAGTTAGCATGGATCACACAGCTGCAGTCAACCAAGTTCCCCACTACTGCCCAGCTCCTGTCACTAGCAGGTCCTCTGTCAAGGGGCAGGTCTGTCAGATTCCCAGATGTGTTCAGGACACTCACTTGATAACCACAGACCACAGGATTCTAATATTTGGTCATGAAAGATACTCTTCAAATTCAAACATAAAGGCTTTATATGATTTTATTTTTTCTCCATCTTTATATTACAGGTCTGTGGGCCAAAAAAGAGATTGGTGTTGTTTCCTTGGAAGGTAGTTTGTTATGCATTTTTAATTCTGTAAATAGTGATGAATGAATAAGAGTCTGTGCAACATCCAAGTCTGTTCCCCTCGTTCTGACTAGAGCTTGTTATTCTGTCCCTAGTCATCTTCTTGGTTAGATGGTCTCTGGTGTCTATTGTAATTTCTCACTTACCTGTGTTTGAGGAAGTGTTGGCTGACATTCTCATAAGCTCCTCTTCTCCCTCCTTTATGTTGGAGCAAAGATTATTCTAGAAGATAATAGTACTGTCCAGACACATCACTCAAAGCAAATGCTACTTTTTGTTCATAAATTATGTAGAGAGTCATCTTCAGTAATGCACACAGGAATGTTTGAGAACTGGCACTGTTTCCTGAATGTCAAAACCTAAGACTTACCCTTTCATTCCAGACCGTGTTTTTCATTTGATGTGCCACACTATTTCAGCTTAGTTCATCCATTTGCCTTAAAAATGTTTAAGCACGGGGAGGGAGAGGGAGAAGGGACTTGAAATAAGCTTGTTCCCTAACTAGAACTAATAAAATAAAATAAAATTAAAAAAAAATGTTTAAGCACTGACAAACTTGATTAATGAACAAGTTCATTTCATACCTTTGTCTTTTTTGTTGAATTTGAGCAGATCTATTAAACAAACAAAGGAGAAGTACCACGGGATGAGTACTGCATTGGAGATATTCACAGATGGCATCCTGAGCTCAAACTCTGTATGTACCTTAGACTAAAATGTTATTGTCCTATAGTGGTAGGTGCAGAAAAGGAAAAGGGGCAAGGAGGAGAAGTCAGGGGAAGAATGGGGGGAAGTGGGATGAAAAGAGGGAGAATTAGAGAGATAAAATGACAGGACATTGAAAGTTTAGTCAGTGCTACCAGGAAATAAGTATTTGCTTGTACACAAATGCGTCTTTGCCTGTATAAAACTACTACTAATTAACATGAAGCAAGGGTAAGCCATGCTAGCTACATTACACAGACATAGCAAAATGGGTCATACCAAATGACAATAAATTGAGGGTTGGTGGTGTTCTTATATTTTTGGTTGTGAGCCTAGCCTTTAACAGCTAGCCATCTCTCCATCCCTGAAAACCATTTTCATAAGCAGGCATTTATCACTGGACTTTTTCCAAATTCTAAGGGCTCAGAAGCTGATTAGTTGTTGCTATTTTCTTTTCAATTTTTTATGTAATTCTTAATGTTAAAATTTCTGTGTAAGATCTCCCCTTACCTGTAGGTATAAGGATAAAATTAAGAGTAGAGTTGAGAACTAGGCTGGTTTAGGAGAGTGGTTCTCCCCTAAATTCCACATCCTCAGGAACCACATGAAATAGACTAGGTTTACCGCACCTTGTATGAGTCTCCTGTTAAGTCTTGAATCCAACCAGACAGCTGTTGGTGACTGCCATGACGTGAGTGCCACCATCACAGCTTTAGAGATACCTTATCAAACTGCATAGCATTAGTCTTCACATATGAGCAGGTCTGTTGTTTGCTTCCCCTGCTTAGTAGTTTTAGTGAAAGTGAATCCTCAGGGAAGAAGCTTTCCAGTCAGTTCCACCTCAGATCCACTTAGTCCTTGTCCAAAGTGCATGCTGATTTATCTATAGGGACTTGTCTGTAAATCTGTGGAGGCAGCTCATGGCAGTAGCAATGTCCTATATTGTTCTGGGAGTCTTGTAGACACCCCTCACAAACAACCCAAAAGGAAAATTCTCATTCCCGGTACAGGGGTTTTTAATAAATAATTTATGGCTCTGAGTGGAAGCATTGTGACCCCAAATGGTTTGACTAATACATTATATTTCACTTACATGTATGTAATCTAAGTAATTCTTAGACTTTTTCAAGCATCCCCGGTGTTATTTACCCCTCCTCTCTCCCTCTGCTTCTGTATCTTACCCCAAAGGAAGTGTACCCTGCTCTGTTTTACCCCCATTTCCCACTTCATATCACAGGTATCATCCTGTTGTCCTCTCTAGAGCTCCTATCACAGTCCCTCTTTCCTTTCCTGTTTTCTGAAGTTACTCGAGTCAGGAACCACAGAAGAGAGAGAACATGCAGTCTGTCTTTCCGGATCTCTGTTACAGCACTAAATATAATATCTAATGGTTTCATTTATTTACCTTCAAATTTCAGCTTTTCTTTTGCTGTTGTTGCTATTATCTTGTTGTTTTTTTTTTTTTTCAAAACAGGGTTTCTCCGTCAGATAGCCCTAGCTGTCCTAGCACTTGTTCTGTAGACCAGGCTGGCCTCAAACTCTGAGATCTGCCTGCCTCAGCCTGGGATTAAAGGTGTTCATCAGAGCTCCCAGACCCCAGTGTTTCATTTTTTATAACTACATTGTGTATATATACCACATTTTAATTATCTATTTATTAATTGAAGGACATTTTCATTGTTTGCCAGGTATTCTGACCAGGGCAGCGATGAACATGGCTGAGTAATTATCTGTGGAGTAGGATAGCTAGGTCTTTGTGGATATTCCAAGAAGTGGTACATCTTGTTATGTGATAGGTTTATTTTTGGCTTTTTGAAAATTATCCTTACTGGTTTCCATAGCAGTTGTCCCTGTTTCCAATCTCACAACAATGGATGAGTGCTCCCCTTTTCTGTGTACAATCTCACAACAGTGAATGAGTGCTCCCCTTTTTCTGTTTACAATCTCACAACAATGAATGAGTGCTCCCCTTTTTTGTTTACAATCTCACAACAGTGAATGAGTGCTCCCCTTTTTTCTGTTTACAATCTCACAACAGTGAATGAGTGCTCCCCTTTTTTCTGTGTACAATCTCACAACAGTGAATGAGTGCTCCCCTTTTTTTCTGTGTACAATCTCACAACAGTGAATGAGTGCTCCCCTTTTTTCTGTGTACAATCTCACAACAGTGAATGAGTGCTCCACTTTCCCCCATCATTTCCAGCACTTGTTGTCAGTTGTTTTCTTGATTTTAGATATTCTGACCAGGTCAAAATGATACCAAATTTGTTTATGTTTTACATTTACTTAATTGTTAAGGACAATGAACAAGCTTTAAGGCTTCCGTTAGCCATTTTTATTTCTTCTTTTGAAGACTCCGTTCAGATGTACAACACACTTTTCAATTGTGTCAGTTTTTTTTCCTTGACACTGTTTTCTATAATCTAGATATTCTCCTCTGTCAGATGAATGCCTGGCCGTGATTCTCCCCCTCCTCTGCTCTTCATCTTCACTCAACAGATGGATTCCTTGGCTGTACAGAGGTTGTTATCCATTGTTGGCCTTAGTCCCTGGGCATCTGGAGTTCTATTCAGAAAGTCCTTCCCCACACCTACATAAAGCACTGCCTGTTTTTTCTTCTACCACTTTCAGCATTTCAGGAGCCACATTGCGACCTTTGATCCATTTAGATTTAATACTTTTGGGGGGTAATAGATTCCATTATAGTTTCTCTATTTCTGCATGGGGACATCCAGTATTCTCAGCACCATTTTGTTGTGGTTTTGTTTTGTGACACAGGGTGTATAGTTCAGGCTGTCCTGGGACTCTTTGTACAGAGCAGGCTGGCCTCAAACTCAGAGATCTGCCTGCCTCTGCCTCCTGAGTGCTGGGACTAAAGGTGTGCCCACCACTGCCCCACTCTCAGTGCCATTTGTTAGAGATGTTTTGATGTCTTTGTCAAATAGAGGATGGCTGCAATTGTGTGTGCTCATGTTGAGGTTTTTGTTTTGGCTCTGTTGGTCTACATGTTTGCTTTGTGCCATACTATATATATTCGTCTATCTTGAAATCAGTAATGGTAAAACTTCCATCATCAATTCTTTAACCAGAATTATTTTTGTTGTCCAGGATATTTTGTGAATTCCGTAAATTTTAGTTATTTTTTTTACATTTCTCTGAAAAACGTTGTGGGACTTTGATATGGGTTATATTGACTCTGTAAGTAGTTTTGTGTACAATGGATATTTTCATAATATTCATTTTACTAATCCACGAGCGTGGGAGGCCTTTCTATTTCCTAATGACTGCCTCAATCCCTTTCTTTCAGAGATTTATAGTTCTCATTTGGGGCCTTTAGCCTTCTTTGTTAGATTCATCCCAAGATACTAGATTTGGGTTTGGTTTGTTCTTTTTCTATATTCTTGAGTTGTATCACAAAGTCCTTGATTTATGCACTTTTTGATCTTTTTTTAAATTAATCTTTATTTAAATTAAAAACAATCTTATTTTACATACCAATCCCTGTTCCCTTTTCCTCCCATCATCCATTAATTATTCCTACCATCTCCTCATCCCAGCCCCCATCCACTCCTCAGGGAAGGTGAGGCCTCCCATGGGGGAATCATCAAAATCTGTCCCATTATTTGGGGCAGGACCTAAGCCCTCCCTTGTGTATCTAGGCTGAGAGAGTATCCCTACCTAGGGAATGGTTTTCCAAAGTCCACTCGTGCACTAGGGATAAATGCTGGTTCCACTGGAAGTGGCCCCATAGACTGCCCAGGCTCTCCAACTGACACCCATGTTCAGGGGGCCTAGATCAGTCTTATTCTATATTCTTGAGTTGTATCACAACTCCAGCCAGCCTGGAGTCCTTGAGCTCCCACTTACTCAGTTCAGCTGTTTCTGTGGGTTTCCCAAGCATGGTCTTGACCACTTTGCTCATCACTCTTCCCTCTCTACAACTGGATTCCAGGAGTTCAGCTCAGTGCTTAGCTGTGAATCTCTGTCTCTGCTTCCATCAGCTACTGGATAAAGGCTCTATGATGGCATTTAAGGTAGTCATCAATGTCATTATAGGGGAATGGCATTTAAGGTACCTCTCCACTATTGCTTAGATTCTAAGTTGGGGTCATCCTTGTGGATTCCTGGAAATTTCTCTAGCGCCAGATTTCTCGTTAAGCCCATAATGGCTCCCTCTATTAAGGTATCTCTTTCCTTGCTCTCCTTCTCTGTTCTTCCCTCAACTCTACCTTCTTGATCCTTCATGTTCTCCTGACCCTCACCCTCACCCTCTCCCCTTCTCTCTCTCCTCCCTCCCTTCCCCCATCCTTCTCCCCCACTGCCCCAGTCTCCTAATTTACTAAGGAGGTCTTGCCCCTTTTCCCTTCTCAGGAAGTCTATTTATGTCTCCCTTTGGGTCCTCCTTGTTTCCTACCTTCTCTGAGGTTGTGCATTGTAGGCTGGTTATCCTTTGTTCTATGCCTATGTCTATTTATGAAATTATTTATTTATGTTTGTCTTTCTGTGTCTGGGTTACCTCACTCAGGAGGGTTTCTTCTACTTCCATCCATTTGCCTACAAATATCAAGATGTCTTTTTTTTAACTTCTGAGTAGTACTCCATTGTACAAATATACCACATTTTCTTTATCCATTCCTCGGTCCTGACTATTACAAATAATGCTGCTATGAACATAGCTGAAGAGATGTCCTTGGTATGAGTGTACATCCTTTGGGTATATGCCTAAGAGTGGAATTGCTGGATCTTTTGTTAGACTGATTCCCATTTTCCTTAGGAACCGCCATACTGATTTCCAAAGTGGCTGTACAAGTTTGCACTCCCACCAGCAATGGAAGAGCCAACCCCTTTCTCCACATCCTCTCCAACATAGACTGTCATTGGTGTTTTTGATTTTAGCCATTCTGATAGGTGTAAGATGGTATCTCAGAGTTGTTTTGATTTGCATTTTCCTGATGGCTAAGGATGTTGAACACATAAGAAATTGCTCATTTTGATATTTTATCTTATGCAATTAGAACTATAAATTTGCTCCTAAAACTGCCTTCAGTATGTCCCAGATGTTCCGTTGTTCTGTTTCTATTTTCACTTAGTTCCAAGGTTTGTTTTTATTCATTTCTTGATTTTTTTTTGCTTTATCTACTTATCCTTCAAATATGAGATATTTTATCTCCATGAGCATTTTTTTACTTACTAGGTATTTGTTTGCTATTCATTTAAAATCTGAGTTCATTATGCTCAGATAGAATGAATACGTTGAGTGATTTCAGTTTTTCACAGTATCTGAAGAATTGTTAATGACCCTTCTCGTGATCTGATTTAGCAATAATTCTGCGGGCTTCTAAGTACAATATATATTGCTTGATGTTTGTATGGAATATTCTATGTCTTTTAAATGGCATTTAGTTAACTTTAAATGTTTTCTCTTTAGGTTGACATAATTATATACATTTATTAAAGTACAACTATTACAAAGTATACCATATACTTCAGTATATATTCACTTGTTTGGTAATAATCACTTATGTGTGTGTGATATGGTATAAATACCACAGCTCTTGAATGCTTAGCAATCTCCCAAGCAAAACTACTGTTTTGCTGTGAACTCTTAAGATGCAACACATTTGTGTGTGTGTGTGTGTGTGTGTGTGTGTGTGTGTGTGTGTGTGTTTCTGCGTCAGTGACTGTGTGTATAGGTCAGAGGACAAGCAGATTTGGTTTTCTCTTCCTACCATGTTTTCCAGGAATTTATCTCATTCACCAAGCTTCAGAAAACACCTATTGTATTTTGAATTCACTAAGGCTTTTGAGCGATCCCCATTAGATTGCAAAACTTCTCACTGGCTTCAGGCTATATGAAGGAAAGAAAACCATAATCAATTCTCATGCTTCTATATGCTTGTCTCTGTCATTATTTCCAGTAAGCTTTGGTCAGGGTATGGTAATAAGTGGGTGAATAACTGTTAAATCAAGGGATTTCACCTTGTTAATTGGTAATACTTTTCTCTGTGTTTTCTACAGGCATTCACTGTAACAGCAACACATTTGGACACAGTGAATGATATAATCAGGAAGTTACAACCATTGCTGGGAATACCTGTGAGTGACCCCAAAACTCTATTTACTTGACTTACCAACTTTTATTTTTGTGGTCCATACATGTTTAATGCCCATATAAACAGCATCAGCAGATACCTGGTTATTCTGTGTCAATTTGCTGTTCTTTCATCTCCACTTGAAGAAGCACAGACAGCCAACATGTTACCTGAGCCCCTATGTAAGCACTACTCTATTATTCTGTGAAATTTCACGTGAATGAAAACCCATAGCATGCTGGGCGTGGTGGTGCACACCTTAGATCCCAGCACTTGGGAGGCAGAGGCAGGAAGAAATCTTTGAGTTCAAGGACAGCCTGACCTACATGGTTCCAGGACAGCCAGGGCCATTACACTTATAAACCCTGTTTCTTGAGAGGGGAAAAAAAGAAGAAAGAGCCAAAGAAGGAGAAATAAAAATAATAGAACAATAAATGAAACATGTGTATGGTCAAGTGCAAAACCAACATGAATTTTGATGTGTATGTTTCATATGAACATATTGTATATATATTTTTATATATGCAATGTTTGTACATATGTTTATATACCCATGAACTACTTGTTAATATCACTTTCCAAATGTGTTTTTCAGTTGCTGTTTCTGTATTTTCTTTTCTATTTCCTACTTTTTCATACTATTTTGTTCCTTGAGGACTGTTTCAATAATTGCTTAATAACAGGTTTGATACACAATTTGAATTATCATGTGACTAAAGCCATGTGGCCTGCAAGCCCAACAAATGATGCCTGAATTGACTGGTAAAGAGGGTAATGATGACTGAAAGAGACCATGGACGTAGTCACTTAATTATTCCTTTACTCGTGCATTTTAATTTGTGTGTGTGCATGTGTGTGCAGGTGTGTATGCAAGTGTATGTAGGTGCGTGTGACCATCAGGTGGAAATGCATGTCAAGGACAACTTGATGGATTTGTTCTCCAGGTTTGGAGGCAAGCACCTGTACTTCCTGAGCCAACTCTTCCCACCCACTTATGCCATTGGCTTGAATACTTGTTTGTCATGTTTTGCTTTGCAGTGTATCTCTCTCTAGGCTGTGAGGGGACTGCTGTACATGGTTGGCATTGTTGGTGGCAGACATGGGCATGTCTGAGGAATCCAAACCCAAAAGAGGAATGTCCAAAGGACCAAATCATTTTAAAAACCACTTTTGCAGGATCTTTCCTAATAAGAAATTTTCACTGTGAAAATTCCTTGTTGTAACAACATATCTAAGATTTATATTTAAATTTTGTTGGAGTGATAAGATTAAATCTCTTGAATCAGTATATGGCATAATTAATCACTTCTACATATGTGTATAATGAAATAGTTATTTAAAGCATACAGATTTTTGTATTTTATAGCAGACATTTTAACATTGATATCCATCATGCATGATACATGTGTCTTGATAAGAATTGACTGTTGGGAGTGAATCATATGGTTCTCCTTGGGTACACTGACTATCAATGAAATAAACATTCACACTCATGAATTTTTTGTGTAAATCGTTTGGTCTCACCAGCAAGAAAAGAAGTGTTTTAATGTAAAAGCCATGATTATTTGCTCATATTTGTATACATGATTTGTGGTATTCTAACTCTTTTTATTAGCATATTAGGGAAGTATTTTATTAGATCGTTCTTTCTGCAACAATTTTGGGGACATTACTGTATCTCTCCCCATTCCTCACTGTGTGTGTGTGTGTGTGTGTGTGTGTGTGTGTTTGTATTTGTGTGTGTTCTTGAAGAGCACATGTGTGAGTTGCCCTTGCGAGCCCTTCTAATTGAGTCCTCACTCTGCAAAACCAAGCTGTAATTTTAATCAGGAATCAAAACATCTTCATATACTAATAAACAATAATACCTTGTGAGGAGTATTCATTCCATTCCAGTGGAGCTGTGATATAGTCCAATAGGTTCTATATAATTTAAGTATACTTGTTTCAAATGTATTCCAGGTGTGGACAGTAATTCTGTGGAACTTACTTACTTCATTGGGACTATTTTGGCTGCCAGACCCTTGCCCCTTCCCTTTGCAGAAAGGGGAGTCCCTGAAGGAAACCACATGCTGACTTCACACTCCAGTCTCCTCCAGGCCTCTCTGGCCTTTGTCTCTTTTGCTCAGACTTGCTGAAATTCCAGGATTTCAAGGTTAAATTGGCTTTGCCATCATAGTCATGGTGAGAGCATGGCTCTTGGGCAATAATTTATTTAGAGCTGGATCATGTGATGGCAAAACTCAATGTTACTCAAAGAGCGTAGGAAAGCAAGTGACAGGGATCTTGGGATGCTTTTTTCCTACCTAGAAACTGGGAACAAAGTGAATTTTAAAAATTTCCTACACTCACAAAATAGTGACAGCCTTATTGCTTTGTAGCTTCTCAGCTCTTTGTGCAAGGGAAGAAGAAAGCAGGGACTTTTGTGTCTCTGCAAACTCAGGGAGGGGACTGAGGCCTCTGAACTCTCTCCACTCTTCACTCACAGTGACAGACACCTCATAGAACAGAATTATTGGCCGCAATATTTTCTAGCTTTAGAGACATGGAAATGGAAAGAAAGTTTGCACTTCAAGTGTCTCCTGAGAAACGTGCTTGGTGACACTTGTTCTTCTGTCTCCCAGAATGCTGAAGAGGATTACCAGCTGTGGTTCTCTTCTGGCCAGGAAGAAACGCCATGCCCACTTCTTGGTAAGTGTGTGGCATCCTCTGAATTCAATCTTGTAACTCTACACTGTCAAAGTTTGTGTTGTTTAGTCTCAAGATTTAATACCCTTAAAGAAAATTTCCTATGTGAGTGTGTTCTATACATCTATATGATAAAGGTATATGATAAAAAGACATTTATGGGAATTTGTTTTTGCAATTGGCTTTTAAAATATATTTTATTTAGTTAAAGTAAAATTCCATCATTCCTTCTCTCACATTTCCAGTTGTCACTCCCCATCCCAAATGAAGGGATTCCTCTCTTTAGCTCTTTTAGTTTTTTTGTTACATATACATACAAGAGAATAGAAATATTAATACAATCTGCTGAGTCACTTCAGTGTTTCCTGCTTCTATACAGTTGGACTTCTATACAGTGTTTCCTGCTTCTATTCTTGGACTGAATACTTGGTATCTGAAAACCAATCAGAGGTCGCATCCCTGGGGAAGGCTAATAACACCCAAAAGTTGTTTCATTGCTTGTAGCTCTTCACACAGTTGTGGAGTTTCATGAGATTTCCCAGATTCACGTTGGCATGTCAACTATCCTATTTATATTTTTTAAATTCACATTGGCATACCAGCTGTTCTATTTATATTTTTCAGGCCATCATGTTGCTGCGATTTCATGACTGTAATCTTATATAGAGAAAACACAATCTCACAGCAGTATTCCTAATTATCTGGCTCTTACCATCTTTCGCCTTCTTTTTCCATGATTTCCCATGTCTTAGGCATAGGAGTTCTGTTGTATGTGTATCCATTGGTGCTGGGCCCCCAAAATCAGTTGTTCTTTTCATTTGACTAGTATTAAGGGTTCCTGCTTCTGCAGAAGGAAGCGTCTCTGATGACAAGTGAAATCTATACCAGTCTGTGGATGTAAAGATAAATTTGAGAATTCAGTTGTAATTATTATAGTTTAGGAAATGGCAGCAGCAGGTCATCCTCTAGTATCCACGGTCACATCAGTGTGGAGTTGGCTAAGTTTACAATATCAGTTACACTTTCCCTCATTTCCAGAACTTAATACTTCTAGTTACAAGTGCTACTATGACAGCCTTATAGATATCCCACCATGCTGGTCATTGGTGTGGTTCATAGGCCATTGACTGAGTGAACTATTGAATGCATCCCAGTACCATAAAAATTCTAAAACAGTGAATCTCAACCTTCCTAATGCTGTAACTCTTTAAAACAGTTCCTCATGTTGTGATGTCCACCAAACAGAAAACTTTTTTCATTGCTATTTCATAAATGTAATTTTGTTACTGTTGTGAATAATAATGTAAACATCTGTTTTCTGATGGTCTTAGGCAACTCCTCTGTAAGGGTCATCAACCCCCAAGGGGTCACAAGTCACAGGTTGAGAACCACTGGTGTAAACAGAGGAGACTTTCAGGTCAGGTGCAGTTCAAATCATCAGAGCCCCTTGTCCAAAGTGTAAGGTAGCATCAGCAACGGGAATTAACTTCAACTTCTGGACAGCATGCCTCATTTAGCACTTGTATTGAGTAATGGATTTATATCCTTTTCAGCCCTTTTCTCTGGCTCCTCACACTCTCGCCATGTCCATCTCATTCATTCCCCATCAAATACATTAGCTTTTCTTCTGTAATTTTTCTTGCTGTATGTGTATGCATACAAAACTCTCTAAGCCTATTTAGTGTTACTCAAATGTGTATCCAATCCACTTGAGTTTGGATACCCTCTCAGGAGCACATTCCTGAAAAGCACCGAGTCTCCCCCTCTCTGCAAACATTCATTGCCTGTGGTACTTGATGTACGTGTGAGGCCTGGGATAACCCCCACACCCTGGCCTCTCAGTTGGTGTTTTCATTCTTTCAATTCCATTTAGGCAATCAAGTTGTTGAGATTTCGTGGGTTCAGCTTCCCCCACATATAGAAGACACAATTTCCCATCACCCACCATGCTCCTCCCTTAGAGCCTTCCTTCTCTTCCAAGGACATTTTCTGAGCTTTAGATGGAGAAGTTGCATTGTGCATGTACCAGGTGGGGTGTGCACTCCATAGTCATGTCTTCTCCAATCAGTTATGGATTTCTATGTATCATAAATCTCTTTATGTACAAGGTCTTTTTGTAATATAATTAAGAAAGTTGTTAAATGAAGTGAACCTTGATAATAAGATTTTTTTTCATATAATGTTTGTTGTCCCTGTTAGAATTCAAGGAGTACCCAGGACCAAGTAAGGCCAGCTGCAACCTCACATTTCATAACACTTTTAGCTTGTTTGATATAGGACAAGATGTTCCTATGTCTTTCAGGGCAGCTTTAAAACTTTTCCACTCTCTACCTCAGAATCTTGTGTTCTGGAAATACAGGCATTGGCTAAAACACCTGGCTATTTTTGATTTTTGTATTGTTGACATAATTGTAAGTCTAATTAACAAGAAAATATGTGCAGAGAGAAAGGAAAATCAGACTGCAATTATATTAATTAAATAGTATGCATTAATTTGTTAGGATTTCATCTTGATATAAAACAACTTTGCAACAGCTTCATACAACACAGGTTTCCTGAGAAATCCTAAGAACCTTCATTCCTGGTCACCACTTAGCAGACATTTTTAGCTACATTTCTTAAATACGCCTAGGTCTCAAATGTGCATCAGCTGCTGACTGTCCCGAAGCCCGGGTTGCTGTTACTATGCTCATTCTACAGTTTCCTGTGCCCTAAACATTGAGTGCTGCTGCAATATTTGGCCCAAATGTAGCATTGCATCTGTGCCAGATGGAAGGAAATGCAACCGCTCACTGTGACAACGGGGATGAAGAAATGGATGGAAGAGAGTTTCACTCAATTCCTAAAACATAGAAATCTATAGTATGGAGAATTCTTTGTACAGGGAGGAATGAAAAGCACAAATGAATAAACCAAAAATTGTAAACCAGGGTATGGAAGGAATACCAGGCAACACAAACCCAACATATTTCCTCTTGTGTGAGGGATTACTGAGATGGAAAGGATGAGTGTTTAAAAGGATTAGCAGAGGTAGGAGATGCAAATGGTCTACCAAAGGTGTATAACTCCAGTGGAAGTCAGGAAAGTAGAACACCATAAAGAGTTTAAAGGATAATCGTAGCAGAAACCACTATGGTTTGGTGCTCCAATGCTCTGTGCATTCCGTGCAAGCCAATAAGATCATATTATTTTCCTCTGTGTTTTTAAAGCCATGTGCTTAAAAATCTGCTTCACTAGAGCATTCTCAGTGGACGCTAGATACTTTAGGGACAACAGCCTTCTAATTCCAAGAGCGTGGGGAGAACTGTAGCGCACTGCAGTGTATTCACACACTCACAGGCAGGGAGGCGTGATTACTCATCATTGTTTGCATCAATCAATATTAAGAATTTTCTTTGTGTAGGACATGAGAATCCATATGCTATCAAAATGAATGAACTTCGAAATGATGCATTTATGGCCCTGGGTCCAAGCAACTACAGCGCTTATCTCAACATCCAAAATGTGATCCAGGAGCTGCAGGACCCTCATGTGCCAGGAAAATTCATTATAAAGCCCAAGGAGCCACCCAGAGATAATCAGCAGAGCAGTGAGTATCTTCCCTTCAAGTTTTCATGTTCCATGGCTTTTAAATCCTTCTATTGCCTTTTTTCCTGGGACATTTCCAATGATACCCAACTAATAATCACTTTTTCTAATAAAAGGTAGTATTAGCTTGTAATATATTTCACAAGAACAGATATGTGTGAATGCAAAGCTAACTTCCATTTTTCATTCTTCATCTCTCAGCTTGCACAGTGGGAAGTCAATAAGTTTTTTTTCTAGAATTATTTAATTACCCCAATGTTTCCTGATACAGTAGCACATATTTCTTTGGTCGTCTCACTTAAAACCCATTTTATCAGGCTGGGACAACTGAATGTATATTTGAGGAAGTACCAATTGAGTGTTGATTTCTGTCTTTCCTCATTGAAGAGCTAAGTATGTGGTTCAAAATCAAATGACAGATTTTATTTAATAAAAATAAAGCTAAAGATGGAAATACATGTGGTAGATTAGAAATGAAAAAATCAGGTTAGAAGAAATATGAAGGTTGCTTAAAAGCATTCAAAATGTCCTTTCCCTTATCAAACATCAGTACCTGTCAACATGCAGAAAACTCCTCCAGAGTGTAAGGGTGGCTGTGTTTTCTCCTTTCATGTTGGTTGGGTGTACATGCCAGTAGAATGAGAGCCTAACTTCAGGACCATGGACAGCTGCTATCCCAAATGGAGAAGAGCAAAGTGTTCTGTTTTGTCCAATTTCCCTAAACCCATCTATATTAGTGCAGACATTATTAGGGTTGGCAATGAGATCTGTGGTGAACATTATTATTACAAAGGCTTCTGAGACCATGCATTGAGCTGAGCAGTGATTTAGGTGAACTGTATAAATAGTACACGATTTTTATTACTTCTTTGAAAGTTTCATATAGTGTGTTTTATCACATTGAATCACATTTTCCCAACTGTTCCAAGATCAACTCCCCCTCTGCCAGCACACTCAACTGTTGTCCTCTTCCCGCCTCCTTACAACAGTTGTTCTCCATGTGGTGACCATTTAATACACTTTCTTGTGTTGTGTTGACTCCAACCATAAAATTACTTTGTTGCTATTTCATATCGCTAGATTTGCTACTGTTATGAATCATAATCTAGATATCTGAAATCGACTCCAAATGGGTCATGACCCCCAAATTGATAACCAATGCCTTCAAACATAACAATATCAAATCAGATTTGTGTTTCCCATGTGCCCTTGGGTAGGGGTCATCCCCTGGTACATGGTCCAGCTCTACTACAGGCCACACCCTTAAGGAAAACAGAATCTCAATATTGTAGCAGCTACCAATGGCCTACAGTGCCTCACTTAGGCATGGGACTTTCTGCCTCCCTCCCTCCTTGATGGGAATGGGGCTTGGATATATTGTAACAACTGTTCAGAGTTCATAGCTGGAAGTGCTGTGTTGTCTACAGAAAAGGTTTTGTTGACTCCAAAACAAAACTGCTACAAATTTGACCATCTTTCTGCCCTCTTTTTGTGATGATACTTGAGCCTTGATAAGAGGAAATAAAATATAGACACAATATTTAGGGATCTGCCTTCCAAAGACACTTATTCTCAGCACATGGGCCAGTTGAGGAAATCTGTGTTGATTATCATCAACTGCAAAGACACTTCTCTGACAGGAGCTGTGTGATGCACTGATCTATGTGTATAAAAACACACAATTAGGAGTCACTTTAACACTATTCACAGTTAGCATAATAATAGCAGTAGCATTTCCACTATGACCTCTGACCCATGTACCAAAACAGGTGCCTTGTATGGGGTCCGTCTTGTCTATTGGATTTTAAATCCATTCAGAATGAGATTGGCAGGCCCCATGTCACCTATGACCCTATTGCTCCACTGACTATACCCTTCCAGAGCAGTGTTATAGTAGTTCATAGGGTCACAACTGGGAATTTCTGCTACTTTTCTCTTCCTGTAGTGTACATACACACAGTAGAGCTGAATTAAAGCAGCATATCAGTTTCAGATGAATTCTCTGTCTCTATGAGTCCAGCATCAGAGTCTAACCCAAATTCTGAAGGGTAAGCAAGATCACTGGCAGTGGTCTGTATGTTTGGGGTCTGTGAGCTCTCTCAGTCCAGCAATTTCAAAGTGTTAACCTATTTCTGGCATTGGACTTTTTATTTGTTAGCTTGTAGAGTCTAGTAGGGGCATTATTACCAAAATATAACTCTACTTAAACATTTTTATAAATAAATGTATATATTTCTGGAAACATATAAAGTAATATATTTCCATATCACATTTTCAAAAACATGTTTAAGATTAATTACCCTTTTTATGAACTCTGCTATTCTGCCTTCCCATACTTACTCTATTTAACCTTTGTGTTACATTACTCCCGTTTCCCCATATGTTCAATATCCCCTGTTTTGAAAATTCCCTGCCATAGTCCTCACTTGGTTCCCAGCTTCTGTATCAATTCCAAATAAAATACACTTATCTACAGTTTTGAGTAGCCAGCTTACTGTTAGGTTCCAGAGCCAAGATGAACTAATTACCCTCCTGTGTATTGCCTTGTACAGTGAGCAGAGTTGATTTAAGGAGTAACCTCCCCAAAAGCCATGTGAACATTTAAATGATAGTATTTGGTGGAATTGCAACATCTTCTACATGACCTATCTGGTCAGGTTTACCTACTTAGCATATGGGACCATTTATGCACATGTTATGGTGCTCTACTGAGAGACCATCAGACTTCTGAAATGATGACCTCCGTTCTCCTCAGATTCAGAGAAAACAGTTAGGAGATTCTCCCTCCTAAGTCGGATATTTCACCGAGGAGCGTCCACCTGCCAAGACTGTGCGTGTTACCACACTGCAGCCCCAACTCATGGTCGCCTCTTTAATAATCCTCTAGGGGCTATTTGTCAAGACGGCAATCTGCCGACATCAATTCTGGTGAGCATGGTGTTTTTCTTCTGTGGCCATCTGAGCAGGAAAGTCTACGGATGGGGAAGCATTCTCCTTAAATTGTACCTAAGTTGACATCATAGACAAATATCACTTGGATACAGAAGTCTCCATTATCACTCTTTAGGAAAACTATCCCGAGATTGTTTTGATGAGTCATGGAAAGCACAACAGGAAAATACCTTCTAGTTCCTTCTGTCTGAGTCTCACATCCAGTTTCTTCCTTGAAATCTACACTGGTATCAGGCATAATTCCATGGCCATTTCACTATTGTCTGATCATTCTTCCAATCTAAATATCTGGCATCTTTTGGTTTGCATTCTAAGAGCTTAAATATAAAAACTTAACATTTGCTAAATATTAATCTTCTCATCCTGACAAATTATGTCAAAAAACCCAAATTTAGGCCTATGCCATTCTAGAAAGTAACCAAATTGTCAGTAGAAACACAGAACACCCAACACCTTCACCGTAGTGATGTCTACACTGCATAGGAACCAGTCTATCTCATCAGACTCACGAATGATAGTAGAGTAAACCTTATGTAAGTCATAAAATGTGGCAGTAACCATGATGTCATCATCCAGCCTGTGGCAATTCAATAACCAAAAGCCCCAGTCGCACTGTGTATGGTACCCAAGTTTCCATGGTAAATCACAGTCTGGATAGATTGTGGTTCCCATGGTTTCCTGGCATTGCCAGCATCATCCTATCCCAAAAGCTGAAACTAGGAAGACAGATCAGAAGGAGATGACAGGCTGACTCAAAGAAAATACAGTTAGAAAGGGGCCCTTGTAAATGTCGATTTAAGCCTTGTTATAAAGAGCCCGGGACATAATGAAAGTAGGAATAGGGTCATAACAAGAAAAGAACCCAAAGGGAAATGGGATGACACACTGGGAAAGGGCATTCGTAGGAAGAACAGGAAAGTACAAGAGACGGTGTCCAGGCCTAGAGACAGATTGGTTTAGAGCATCCATCACTGCGGATGAAAATCTGCTTCAGACGTGTTCCCAGTTCTCAACATGAACTGCTAGAGTGGTTCCCAGAGAGGAACACCTGTAGGATCACCAGATTCAGTCGGGAAGAGACTGGGCCTGGCATAAGCTTTTGAAACCTCCATCTCAACCCGAGTGACACATTTCTTCCCACAAGCCACACCTCCTAATTTTCTCAAATAACACCACTCCCTGGTGACTGAACATTCAAATACATGGCCCTGTGGGGCCACTCCCATTCACACCACCACACACCCCATTGCTCTGGGGCTCATGAAGACTCACACTGCTGCTCTGCAAGTGTGGAACTATAATGGCAGGTGCTCATCTTTTCCCACACAGGATATGCTGTCTCTCCTGGAGGAAATCGGACCTGCGGTTGAAGGCATTTTCAGAAAAGCAGGAAGTATTACAGAATGCCAAGACGTTAAGGAGAAGCTGGATTTGGGAGAAGAAGTAAATTTGAGGGAGGAATCCATCCTTGTTGTGTCATCAGTTCTAAAGGTAGGGGAAGTTGCTTCAATCATTTAATTATTCATGCCTGAGAATGATGACAGGCATGGCCAGTGCTAAACAATTTGCAGAACTCACTAATGAGTACTCAGTCAGCAGCAACCTGAACTTCCCCTGAGTTCTTTTTTGTTTGTTTGTTTCGTTTTGTTTTGTTTTTTCAAGACAGGGTTTCTCTGTGTAGCTTTGGAGCCTATCCTGGCACGCGCTCCGGAGACCAGGCTGGCCTCGAACTCACAGAGATCTGCCTGCCTCTGCCTCCCGAGCTGGGATTAAAGGCATGCGCCACCAACACCCAACACCCTGAGTTCTTTATAAGCAGTGGATCAATGAAATTTCCCTTGGTGTAATTTTTTTTGAGTGGCGTTATAGAACTGCTTCGTCTCATCAATGAACTCTGCAGCCATTGCCCTAAAAATCCACAGAAGAGATCTATGCTCTGAGAGGATTTGTGTTAATTCACATGATGCGAAATTATAACTGATGTCTCCAAAATTCTCAGATAACACCGTAGCTTCTGGGTCCTCTGCCTCCAAACACTGGGACCACAAATAGAGAAAATCATGGCACAGCTCTAACTTCTACAATGGTTTTATATCATTAATAGTAAATGGAATCTGTTGTGTTTATTTTCTCCCTTCTTCTATCGTTACATACCCTCAGCTCACAATTAATATTATGAGCAGTTACTAAATTACATAATCATGATAATTAATCAGAGGGTATTGCTGAAGACAGACAGTAATAAGCATTTTAATGATATGTAGAAGGACCAGCATAAAAACAGTATTGGGAAGAATCTGAAAACTCAACAAGAAATCACCTTTTCATTGAAGAGATAAATTAAGACAAAAACTCAAGCTGGCTTCTAAGTCGAGCTATCTTGCCTCAGCTTCTTGAGTTCTGGATTTAAACCTGCATGCTGCCAAGCTTGCCTCAGCATCACAGATTTGAGGAGGTGGATTTGCTAATTTATGATTTAATCGTCACCTTTACAAAGTGACACACTTCCTATGTACCACTGAAGCACCCAGCATGTTGATACGTTAAATGTGATATTTAATGGTCCAAATCTGAAATTGGCCTAAATTTTGATTGTCCTCTTTAAAGATTATTTTGTACAATGTCTTGTTGGTATTTTGCCAACAAGCTGCTACTTTAATCCTAAGGACCTGAACTTGTACACATTAAGGAATGAATCATGGCACTACTGTTACTCCTGGAGAACACAGGTATCGGAAGACAGAGTCCAGTCCTCACCTGTAGTTCAAGACAGCATTTAGATCACTTGCTTTAGAACCTTTCTGACTAGGAAGTAAAAGCTGCATTCAAAAGGAATAAACAAAATGTACATGTTAATTTATTGAAAATGTAATTATTTTGAACTAATGCATCAGCTTTGCACACATCCTAGAGCAAGTTTGACCTGGGAAGAGATTCATCTTCATCCCCACCACCACCTACACTCTACTCTTAGGTATCTAGGTTCAGTACAGTGAATCCAAACCCCTCTTCTGCCTGTGCCAGTCAGTAAATCTCAGACAAGATTCTGTGTGGAGTGCAGCCCAGGGAGCTTTGAAAAGATTGGGGTTAAGCTGAATACTTCATTTGATAATTCCCTCAGTAATTTTCCAATATAAATCTTTCATAAGAATAATATGTCTTTTTCATCTTTGTAAGGATTTCCTTCGAAACATCCCCGGAGGAGTATTCTCATCTAGCCTCTATGATAAGTGGATGGCGGTCACTGATCAAGACAATGAGAAGGAAAGAATATCTTCCATCCAGAGGTAATGATGAACTCTTGATTTGGAACACAAAACGCAGACCATGTATTCTTATAAATATGACTAAAATCATGCCCAGCACCAAAGATGTAATTAGTCCACACACAATGTGCATCTTTTTAAAGGAGAATTACGTCTAAGCACTTCAGAGTAGCAAACCCTGTAATCTAAGCATGAGACGGGCTGTTGTGAAGCTTGTCCTAAGTTCTGAACCAGAGTAAGACTTATTCAATGATTCTAGGACAGCTGTGGCTACATTATGAGACAGTCTCAGAAAACAAAACAATGTCTTACCACTACGATGTATGGTTTTTCTCCTAGTGCAATTGGTATGGAACATTTACCGATACAAACAGTCTGAATATATGACCCGAGAGAGGAAATTCACTGTCCCATAGGACATACTTGGTCATCCAGTCTATTAGTGAAATGGTTTCAATAGTCTTAAATGGTTATTGAACAGAGAGGTCCATGTCCAGATATGGACTGAATTCTATGAAATATTTCTGTCTCTATAAACTCCTGGAATGAACTCTCAGATACTAGATAAGATTTAGCCTCTAATCTCCACACAGAAATGCTTTTTACCTAAAAATAAGGATTTATTTAAAATTCTATTGTTTCATTTACTAGTTTTTTAGTAAGTTTCATGTTGCCATGAGAGTTTTAAATATATTTATATTAAATTATATTTGAATAAGTTTTGTTCAAAATAAAATGTAGAACCTTTGGTTAAAACAAAGCAATATTTTAGGACATGTTACTTGTTTTTTTTTTTTTTGCAGATTTTTTTATTTGAATTAGAAACAAGATTGTTTTACATGATAATCCCAGTTCCCTCTCCCTCCCATCCTCCCCTACCCACCCTCAACTAAAACCCTATCTATCACATATCCTTTCTGCTCCCCCTGGATGGTGAGGCCTTCCATAGGGTGTCATCAGAGTCTATCGTATCCTTTGGGATAGGGCCTAGGCCCACCCCCTGTGTGTCTTGGCTCAGGGAGGTTACTGTTTCTTTTTAACCTCAATTAACTATATGATATACAATTTTTTTCTGTTCCTTTTCTCCATGTTTAGAACTTAATTAGTAAAATTTCCCATTTCAAAATAACTTGTTTCTGTTCAGTCTTTTAGAGCAACTGCCAACACCAAACGTGGTCCTCTTGAGACAGCTGTTCCAGGTCTTACATAGCATTGAGAGACATTCGTCAACTAACTATATGACATCTTATAACTTATCTGTGTGTATAGCACCAAGTGTTCTGTGCCTACCTAACTCCAGCATGTTGGAATTCAGAAAAGAAATCGAAAAACAGGTAATGAGATATATATTTCTGTGCTTTGGTTTGGTACAATGTTCTGCCCTGGTGTTATGCAAGGAAGGTTCTCTTATTCATTTCTTCCCATTCAGAGAGACAGTAGAGTAACCATTTCTGAGTTATGCACCTTCCTCATCCTATAACAAAAGTAGATGAAACTGTCTGGATGAATTGTTCACCTTCATCCATTTTTGGAATTTCTAACCTGTCAGTGATTTGATTGGTCCCATTAATTTTCAGCCTATGAGAAGAATATTTAAAATCGAGTGCCTGATCCAACAAATTGTTTACTTCTGTGAGGAATCAGAAAAGGAATAAAGAAAGGCTAGGGGCCTACCCTAGTATCCACCCCTAGGCCTTGCTTCTTCAAGCATACCTTCACATTAATCCAGGACCAAGGCTTCAATATATGAGCCTCCTGGGGAATATTGAACACTAAACTAGGGCACAGTTCATCTTTGACAATGGAACAAGAAGCCAAGCAAAACTTCCAGAATTCCCTGGAAATAAAAGTGGCTAATAATAGACTAATCTCAACTAAACAGGAAGCCTGCTGAACACCAATGTGTGGAGGCAATGACAGTGACACCAGGTGTGTTCTTTCCAGATGTCGTCTTCCTACACAGAAGACCCAGGGAGCTCTGTTGCCCATAGTATACATAATTCATGTAAAACCTGAAGTTCTCTTACTTTTCATTTAATTTGGTGGTTTGCAAATCTCAACAACAAACTCTACTTTTCACCCCATACTTTCTATGTGGGTTTATTAATTCCCTTTCTCTTTGTAATGACACAAATACCCAGGAAAGTGGGGGAGATTGATTTAGCTCAGTTTGACCTGATGCAGTCCGTTACATGTGAAGTACAGGGCCAGGGACATGAAGTATCTGTACAATTGGCTGTGCGGTCAGGAAAAAGTAGAGAGCAAGGGGAGGAGTGCTAACCTGGCTTCTTCATTCACTCCCTTTCTGCTCATTCTGACTTCGTATGCAAAGGTTGTACATCCTCAGTCGGGATTAGTCTTCGTCCTTAATTACTCCTCTGTACACATACCCTCACAGACAGACCTGGAGCTGTGTCTTCTAGGTGAATGCAATGCCATTCTAGTATGATGAAGCTTGGTACTTTATTGATTATATTTTAAGATTTGTCCTGAATACTATTGTAACTTTCACAGTTCTTTTTAAAAGAGAAACAACTTCATATACGTTATAGCAATTTTTATCAGAAATTTGAATTTCAAACTTTCCTACCTCAGTCTTCGATACCAAATGTGATTTCTAACTATATCAAATGACAGCATGCCATTTCTGTCCTCTGTTGTTAACAGATTTCTCTTGTACAGTTTTTTATTGACAATTTTGAAAAGATATTTGAAGACAACACCAATACACACTTAGGTGAAAGCTCAGTGATACCTAGCAATGGCGAGGAGACGTTGGATACATTCATTGGTTTGTGTGAAACGGACGCTGCCCAGGATGATGAGAGAAGCTGTGACAGTGAACAGACTCATCCCAAGGATGGTGCAGAGCCGCAGTGTCCGTCTGCTGCTCCTCACGAAGGTGAGTGCTCAGGTCAGAGGCTTCCTACATTCTGACAATGAAAACCAGGGTTGGAGGATAGTCACGCATTCAGTAGAAGCTGTTTCACTGACAGCAGCATCAAGACATCCTACGTTATCACAGAATTTGACAACTTTTTCCAATAAAACTGTACATGGAAGCTGATCCTTGTACATGGTCGATATGCCCTATTGAAACCTATGTGAGGTGCCCAGTAGGGACACGTTGTATTTATCTGCTCTCTTTCCAGTGGTCCCAGAGAACACCCCGATTACTAGTGCCCTTTGAAACAATTTGAAAGAGCCAAGATGTTTGAGAAAAATTATTACTCCATTTAGCATCAAAGAAACATTGTAGCAAACAAAGCCTTGTGGTCCACCTTCTGACCTGTGTTGTTAAGTGTCCAAATATTCTGTAAGCCTTCTGATGCCATCTCAAATACAGAAAATATGTTATTTTCATAAAGATTAAGCAAAATTATTGCATTATGTGTTTTCACTGTTGTATGGAAGCCAGCAAATTTCCCCCTGAATCAGCCGTTAGCATCACCAAAGCTCAGCTTTTAAAGCAGCCAGCAGCATTTCCCTCTTCAAAGTAGAGATGAGAGTCAGAACAGAGGACACAGCCTTGAATCCCTTCGTGTTTCTGGCATTTCTTGGTTGGATGATATTTGACTAGTTGCTTTGGGAAAATACTTACAAAATGCATTATAGCCAGAAGTGAGGTTTAGTCTAGTGTCTGGGGGATGTTTATGCCAGGATGATATATCTATGTTTCATTCAGCGGTGAGTGTGGAACAACCTCTGGATCCTAGACCATTAAATGCCCAGTGCTCTACAGAAGGAACAACTGCAGCATGATGTCTAAGGCTCCGTCTGGATCCATCCACCTGGAAACCAGCCTGGGATTTCCTCACTGGAGACTACAATCCTCACCACCATATTTTGCTTATCCCTTTAGTGCTGTATTAGTCTACTCTCAAATACTTTTCAACAGTGTTTCCAAGATTTGTTGGAACATGATTTAAATCCTGTTCTTGTCTGAAATAATTGATTCTTCGACAAAAGGATGGACAGACACCAAAAACTAAGCGCCTGAAAGATGCTCTTAAACTTCCTTTACCTGATACCTGAATAAGCATCACTCGGGTACCAGTTCATTACACGTGATTGTCCCTTTTCCTCCTTCATTATTTATATTTGAAAAGACCTTTCTCCAAAATATCCCTATTTCTATATAGTTATGTTTACTATATTGTAAGAATTCTAGTTAGCATTTGTATTGAATTTGTTTCATTGTATTACCTGTATTTTTATTGTTATAATAAATATTCTAGAATCTAATTGCTTAGAAAATGTTTTGAGATTTCCAGTTACTCTTTAGAAAATGCTCAGAGGGGCCTTATGTCTCTTCTCAGTTGTAATTAATATGCAGTAATATAGGAGCTTAACTGAGTGTATGTCATGGGCAGATGGCTTGTTACCTGCCCCCTTGTCTATGACAATTTAGTCCCCATTTCTTCATGTTGTAGAGTAAAACTATACCAGCAAAGGAGGCCACTGATTTTCAAGCACTGCTCCCTTCAAGTTTATTAATATCCCATTTGTCACAGTCAAGTATATTAATAACCCACTGGTTAAGGTCTAGAAGGAGAGAGTTAAAACCAGAATTCATGCAGGAGTTGATGACAGAGTCAGCAGAAGTCCAGCTGCTAGGGTTGAGAAATGAGGCCTTCATGGTTCTGGGAGGCTCTTACTTGGAAAGTGTCAAACTGCTGGGTTAACTCAATGTAAACTCACTACAACACAACATTTTTTTTCAGCTTTAGGTATTTACTGAATGCATTGGAAATATATTCCAAAGGAACTGAGCTACATCCTAACCTTAGGGAATAAGTTAAACTTCTCAGTGATAAAAGCTTATACAAAGTTGGTTTGCTGTACTCTCCTGCATTTAACAAATAAAAATACAAAACTGTGTAGAAATCTTGTCTTTAGGTCATCAGCGGAAACAGTGGGTTTTTGGAAACAGACATATGCATCATAAAATCTGAGAATGTTCAAATCAAGAAATATGTGCTATGAAATTGCTAAACACAAAAGAAAAAAGCAACATTCTCGTGTGTATCTGCATATGGTTAATTCTGGTCGTTTGCTATTTGAAGAAATATTCACTTAAAGAAAGATTAAGAAACTATGATTAGAGTAACTTTTCCTTCACAATGAGCAATAGAAATCATTTCCAACTTTAACTTGTAAGACCTTATGAGCATGCCCATGACAACATACAGACAGAATAAGACAGCAGAGTAACTTACATGCAGAGTTTGCCATTTGGGAGCGGTCTCTCCATGTGAGGTGATAATATTTAATTAGTGAACAACTTTTTAGAATTATTAACTAAAGTTAAGTATTAGCTGTCCTGGCAAAAGTTGTAATACAGTGATTGCTGTGTTTGGGGTAATCAATCCATTGGTTTGTTTGTTTGGGTTTTTTTTTTTTCCAGTGTGGCCATATCTGTCCTGGAACTTGCTATATAGACCAGGCTGGCCTTGAAGTCAGAGATCTGCCTGTCTCTGCCTCCCAAGTACTGGAATAAAAGAAGTGTATCACCACTGCTGGGCTTAAGTTTTTTGTTTTGTTTTGTTACACAATGAGGGAAGTATTCTTGTTGTTTCTTTGTTTTTCGAGATAGGGTTTCTCTGTGAAACAGTCCTGGCTATCCTGGAACTCTGTAGACCAGGCTGGCCTCGAATTCAAAGAGATACACCTGCCTCTGCCTCCGGAGTGCTGGGATTAAAGGTGTGCTTCTCAACTCCAACATCCAAGTAACTCATGACTGCCCGAAACTTCAGATCCTGGGAATCTAATGCACTCTTATAATATCCAAGGGCAACCCACTCACCCTCGTGTGTGTGTGTGTGTGTGTGTGTGTGTGTGTGTGTGTGTGTGTTAAGTAAAAACATAAATCACATTTTGAAGAATTGTGGGTATGGGTAGTAAAGAAATGTCAGTTTGGAGTGGAGAGTGTGGGCATGAATTCTCGTGGTATCAGAAGAAACGCCATCATTTCCCCCCATGCAGTGTGATATTTGCTATGTTCTTACCATTCACTGACAAAACTGACTTCAAACTAAATTTAGTGAGAGGGGATAAAGAAGGAGACTCCATTGTCTTCAGGGAAACAATTAACCAGGAACACGTTATAATCCCAGATAGAAGCACCAAGCACAGGTGCACCCATTTTCATGAAAAGTGGATACTGGACATTAAGAAACAGATGAGGGCCAGGCGATGGAGGCACACGCCTTTAATTCCAGCACTCAGGAGGCAGAGGCAGGTGGATCTGTGTGAATTCAAGGCAATTCTGACAAGCTCTCAGTGTGTCCCAGATGGAATCCCACTAGAATTCTCTGGTCTGAGTACAGCCCCACCCCTACCCCAACCTACTGGGTAAGTCACAGTCCTGTCACTATTGAATTAGGGAATCATACTTTCTCTATGAATGGAGTTTGGGATTCAGGCCCTGCAGGAGTGCAGAAAGCCCTTCCTGCTGGACATCTGTGTGTGCCATTGGAGTGATGGGCTGAATTCCAGACCATACTTCCAGGAATTCCATGTAGCTTGCTCCAGGTTTGGGGGGTGAGGGTGTGCCATTCTCTTTGGCTGGATGATGTCAGATGCAATATCCCTGGCCCTCCATCTGGCGCTAACTGTGCTCTGCCAGCTAGCTGTGTGTTCCTCCTTCTTTCCCTAGTTCTCCTGCACTTCCTGAAAGCATGTCACTGCAGCTGGAGCAAGGTCTGTCCTGTGGATCCCATGAGTGAGGACAGTGACAGGCAGCCAAGATCCATGGCCTTATACTCCAGGACAGTCTCTGGTTCTTTTTCACAGCCCGGGTCCCTGAGTTCAATGAAGGGGTCTGTTTACCCTAGGTGAGCGTTAACTCAGGAGTTAGGTTGCTGAAATCTTCTGGTCACACTGAACTCTTGTCAGTCAGAGGCCACGACTTCCAGCTTCCTGAATTACAATAGTGAGATTCATGCAGCACAGAATGGTGAGTTTTAGGAAGAGGTTTTACTGCAGGTTGCGTGACTGCCTAGTAGAGGCTAAAGTCTCAGACTCACAGAGGTAAAAACCATCTCTGGGAGTTAACATGGCTTCTGTTTAAATGAAATTGTACTACCAATGCAACTGGAAGTAAAGAGGAAGACTGTAATCAAGGTCTGGAGGAGTCCCTGAGAACACAGGCTGAATGGAAAAAGGCAAGCCTTGCATGTAGTCTGCCACATGGCTGAGACTTGGAAAAGGCATCATTGAAGTCTGTAGATGGAAGTTTCTGTCCCATAGCCATTTAGTCCCAAATAAACACAGAGGCTTATGTTAATTATAAACTGTTGGCTGATGACTCAGGCTTCTTATTGGGTAGCTCTCTTCTTATTAATCTATTTCTATTAATCTGTGTATCTCCGTGTGGTCTTGGCTTACCAGAGAATGCCTGGACGTCCTACCTTCCCAGTGGCTACATGGCATCTTGCTGGTGACTTGCTCTGTGTTCCTCCTTCCAGGATTCTCATCTGTGTTTTTATTATTTAGACCAAGTAAGAACCCATTTTACGGAAGTCCAACTGAAAACCACGAACCCTCCAGTGGAATGCCATTGATCTGCACATATGGTTGGGGACAGTGGGATGTATGAATGGAAATTTCCAGAAAACAGCTGTATTTGCAAAAGATGCCTTAATTGGAGCACATACCTTTAAATCTAAGACTGGAAACAAGTCTATATTTATCCAAGTTATTTCCTTCATTTTGGGGTGTGGTATGGCTGGTAAGTTCATGAGGGTCATGCGTATGTGTGCTCACATGTGGAGACCAGAGGTAGAAGCCAGGTATTTTCCTCAGTGGCAACCCATTTCACTTGGTGTGGTGGGTTCACCCATGAGCATGCATTGCTTACGCAGAGAGAGCCCCAAGAGTCCTGCTCTATCCAGTTATGCTCATCCCTTTGAGACAGGGTCTCTCACTGAACCTGGAGCTCATCAATTGGCTAATCCAGCCTGCTTGTGAGCCCCAGATGTGTGCCACCACAACAGGTTTTCTATGGGTGCTAAGGATCCCAACTCAGGTCCTTGTTTTCATGGCAGGAACTCTTCTGCCTGAGCCATCATCTAAGCCCCCTCTTCTCTTAGCAACAATCTTGACCTAGAAAGTAAATCCTTAAAATTTTATGGATGTGTCACTCACTGCCAGAGAAGTCATTTAGGGAAATGTTTGAAAGTGCTGAAGCTGGTATTTCAGACTATGTCAGAGAGAAAATGTCAACTTTCTACTGTTGACCAGTCCAGGAAAGGAAGTCAGAACCAGTACTAAGTAGATGCCAGGCCAGACATAAAACCAAAGCTCCTTCAAGGTCCCATCAGATCTGTTGAGGGTCCCTCACCAGGTTCCAGGCATGAAGGATGTCATATTTAATGAACAAAACAAATTGCCAGAGAGCACCAGCATTCCAAAGGAGCAAACACCATTTACAAACTAGAGATATAAACGTTTATTTCACAACTCTGCCATAATTTGCTAAGGAGACATGTACTGGGAACATTTAAAACACTGGGGTGGCTGGATGCGGAGTCTTCCAGACAGCAAGGAGCAGATGTACCAGACTGGCCAGTTTTGCTTCACTTAGAGCCACCTCCTTTCTTGGGGCCATTAGTCCTTATTTCATGCCAAATTTTCACTAGAGGCTCCCTGTTCTTCCAAATGAGTTCATGACCATAAGTGATATACCATCTGGAGAAAGACAAATACTTCAATGTTCAAACAACATGACATGCAAACCCAAGCATCATCACAGCACCAAGTGACATCAGTTTTTTGTTTAGGGTATTTTTTTTTTTTTTTTGCTTTTTATGTTCATTAAAAAGAATATTTGTAGCCGGGCATTAGTGGCGCACGCCTTTAATCCCAGCACTCAGGAGGCAGAGGCAGGCAGATCTCTGTGAGTTCGAGGCCAGCCGGGTCTACAGTGCCAGTGCTAGGATAGGCTCCAAAGCTACACAGAGAAACCCTGTCTTGAAAAACCACACACACACAAAAGACAGTATTTATTTTCTGTGAGTGGGAGTTTAGCCTGCATCCATGTCTGTGCAGCATGGATGTGCAGTGACTGGAGGACAGAAGAGAGCACTGCATCCCCTGGCGCTGGCACTGGGAACTCAGGACCACAGCCACGCCACAAAGCTGAATAAACTCGGTAATCTGATATAAAGCTTTGCTGTTTATGATACAGAAAGGATAAAAGCAGGATGGGCCTGAGTTGCTGTTTGAAACTATGTCACAGCTTTATACAGTTACTTAAACTTATTTTTCTGTACATTTTATTTGTGTCTTGGGGAGGAGGCACTGATGCCATGGTCTGTGTGTAGAGAGGTCTGAGATCATCATGTATGTCCCAGGGATGGGACTAAGTTTGTGAAGCTTTGTGGAAAATGCCTTTACCCACCTCAGAAGCTCTAAACTGTAACCTTTTTATTCCCTGGAAGTTAACCATCAAGTTTCCTTGTTTGTTTACTTATTTTGGAGACAAATTCTCACAATATAGCCCAAGCTGGCTGGATGCTCACAATAATTCTGCCTCCCAAAATCTGGTAATAGAGGCATAAACAACCATACCCACCTAGGTTTTTCTCATTACAGACTAGAGGGAACAGTATGTAAGAAAATCATGTGCTCCGCATGTGAATTGCTTGGTGTGTTAGCCAAGGTCTGACCAAAAGTACACTGAGAATAAGAAGAACTGTCAGGGGTGGTATTTGCTAACGAGGACTATAGTCGTATATCTGCCTCCTGAATTCCACCTGCTCACACATAGAAGGCCTACCAATCCAAACTCTGCCTGCAGGCAAGGAGCAGCGAAGGTCAAAGCTATAATTCTTAATTTGCTCAGCCCTCTGACTAGGAATCACCGAAGAGAACACACACTTGAGAATCTCTGCCCTAACTAAAGCACACAAAGTAGGAGAACCCACACCTGAGACCCCGTACTCCAACTACTGCTCACAAACAACCCACACCTGAGACCCCGTGCTCCAACTACCGCTCACAAAGGACATGCCCCAGATGCTGAGTGACACTGGATGAAGCACTGGCTATGGAGTTAACTTAGGGCATCTTCAGTCTTCCAGGGAAAGGGCACAGGCCCTGAGGATGTAAGGAGCCGATGGAGAACAGCAGCCTAGGAAAGCCCTGCTCCTGAAGCCCTGACTTGTATACTTATTTCTCCAAACAGACTCCATGTTCCCAGAGGCAGACTTGATTGACCTCATCCTTTCCTAGACCTAATTTTAATATTTAAGGCAATGGGCATTCTGGCCATGCTCTTAATACTAGCAGAGGTGCAGAGGCAAGAGGCCAGAGGTAAAGGCAGAGGCAAAAGGATCTCTGTGAGTTTGTGGTCAGTCTGGTCTACATATCGAGCAGGTTTACATAGTGAGACCCTGTTTCAAAACGGGAAAAAAAAAAATACAAAGGATTTAAGGGGTGGAGAGATGGCTCAGAGGATAAGAGCACTTTGGTGCCCTTTAAGACACAGGTTCACCTCCCAGCATCAACATAGTGACTCACAACTGTCTGAAACTCCATTTACAGGGGATCTTCTGCCCTCCTGTGGCCTCTGTGGTCATGTCATGAATGTGGTACACAGACATACATGTAGGTAAAATGTTGATACACGTAAAAATACACTTTAAATAGTGCTCGATCTGTTTAACATTGGAAGTAAAACAGTGAAATAATGTTTTAACATGTCAAAAATACCTGAAAATGCTTTTTTTTTGTAAAGGGCTTGACTTATTCCAGAATGTTAATTCCTGCTTATGAAAGCAGGACTCGATGGCACACATCTGTAATCCTAGCACTTGGAAAGCTGAGGCATGAAAATTGCCCTAAGTTCAAGGACAGTTTGGGATGCATATTGAATATGGGGTCAGGCAGGTACTACATAGAAAGACCACATCTTAAAAACAAACAAAAGACACCAGTTAATAGGCAAGTAACAACATTCTCTGGAGCTAAAGGAAGATTCTCTCATGAATATTAAGAGACAAGGGCTGCCCCAAGATCAGATGTAAAACCCTTAAAGTGAGTCCAGTCTTTTGAGCAGAGCCCAACACTTCAGTCTGACAGGTAATACTCGATTATACTCCTGATCCTGATACTCGGGGATGTGGCAAAGCCCAAGCATCAGGGCATTGAACTCAGGCCCCCACA